TGCTGCGCCCCAAGGATAGCCTCCTTGAGGAAGGACCACCTTTCCTGGACCCCCATACTAGCTACACCCTGGGCTCCAAGTGCCTCCCTGACTACTGCCCTGAGTTAGTTATCTATTCATAATAGATAACTAACTCATATTCAGTTAGATAACTAACTGACTATGATATCCCATGTGATTTTGACTGATAGCCAATGTAATCCATGTATATAAGTGCAGGAATACTGAGTAGGAGTGGCATTACCTCTGATATTTGCATTGCAATAATGTTTTCAATAGTATGTCCATCTGGTGCCTACACTTCCAAAGAAATGTTGCAGAGTTCAGAAAATTGCTGCAAGAATGTTTCACAGTCTGCAAAGCCTACCTTATTAGTGGCAAACTTCAGCTCAATCTATTTATCTAATAGGTGACTTAGTCATGGGCTAAAGATATTTAGATGGGAAGAAGATTTGAAAGTAAAGAACTCTCTAGCCTGTTAGGGAAAGGCAAAAAGAGATCAATAGCTGGAATGTGAAGCTGAACACATTCAGACTAGAAACAAGGTGTACAACTTTATCAATGAGCGTGATTTGCTGTGGAGGCATCATGACAGGAGAGGTTTTTTTTTAAGGAGGGACTTGAAAGAGAAAATGAGATAATTTATTGATGTTAACAGATATCTCCTAAGCATGAGTGGTAGCATGGGGGCAAACTGAAGATGCTTATTTGAAAATCCAGCAAGTGTGTGCTGGAGTTTGATATTATGGGGTGATTTGAAGGGAGGACTTGGCTTCCTGACATGAATGAAAGATGTTGGTAGAGTTGGGTACAGGCTTTTAAGGGCTTTGAAAATGAAGGCAAGCATCCAACACTGTGATAGAGCAGGGGAGACACTGGAAGGATATATAAGGAAGGTTATTGTAATTAAAGCCATGGTGTAGGAAAATATATTTTGCAGTCATTGTTCTTTGGGTAAATGTGATATATTTGATTAGACCAACTAAATAGTTGGAAAAATCTGTTCTTTGCAAGCTTTTGGGCACAAATGCCCTTCTTCAGGTATATAGACAGTCTGTTGGTGAATTATGTGCTCTCCTGAGTAGTATAGAAGTCAAAATGCATGTCTGAAAATACAAATGTGACAGTGAGGATCAGAGGGATGGAAGACAATAGGTGTGAGATAAGAAAAGGTGGGGGAAGGGGCAATGTTGAACTAGCAATAGAAGAATGTAGCCGGTAAAATGCAGATGAGTTGCCTGAGGTTATCAAATGGCAGGCAGGTTATAATGTGCCATAAATCCAATGTCTATATTTAGTCCATAAACCTCCTGGATACAGAAAATCATGAAGTGACGTTTGTAGGCTTATCTACGAACGGTGTTTTGTAAATTCCCTTTGAGGATTAGAACTGAAAAATGGAGGGAAAGTGGTTATCTTGTGAGAAGTGTGCACCTACAGTTAATTGGGTATTTTTGTCTTTGCTAGATTTTCAGTGTGCATTCATTCTGGTGCACAGTTGTTGTTTGGTTTCTCCTACGTGTTTTTGATCCAGGCATTTAGTGCACTGCATGAGATGTATTACATTTCTGGAGGTGCAGATGTAAGAGCCAGGAATGATGATGGGTTCTGTTGTGAGGTGTAGTTATTGTGGAGGTGGTGGAAATGTGTTGACAGGTTTTACATTTCTTGCCCCAGCATGGTTTGGATGCATTTGTTTTTGCTTTGGGCCATAGGAAGTTTGCTTCTGGTGATGAGGTTGATGAGGTTTGGTGCTTGTGTAAAGGCTAGGATGGTGGTCCCAGAAAGATTCTTCAGCAGTTCTTCATATGGTATCTGGGTGGCTCTTTCAAAACTATGATCTGTATCTCTGGAAGAGTGTCCTTGTTGGGTGAAAGCCCTTTTGAGATTTGTGAGGTGACGATCATGGGTGTTCTGCGTAGTGTAAATTTGGTGGTATTGGAAGGCTTGGCTGTATATTACAGCTTGTTTGGTGTATTTAGGGCGATTGCTAGTTCTGTGTAGATATGTATGTTGGTCTGTGGGCTTTCTGTATATGGTGGCATGTATTTTACTATTCTGGATATTAGGGTGCACCAATAGAGATTTTTGGGGCCAATACCAACAGTCGATATTTAAGGAGGCATATTGGCTGATACTGATCCTTCCCTCTGCCCCTTCCACCACACTGGACTTACCAGTTGGAGGCAGCTGTATCAGAAATTGGAAGGGGGTGTGTGGGGGGCAGATCAATGCGTCCCGCCCCCCCCAGGTGAGGGAGGGGGCAGGAGCAGGCGCTGCCCAGGCCGGCTGCGGGGGGATGGAGCCACGGCTCAGCAGAAGGGGGGGTGACTCCTGCTGCTGTTTGTGCCCCAGGAGGATGGTGGAGGCATATGTCCCCCAGATCTGCATAGGGTGGGGCAGGCCGCAGCCAGGGCTGTGCGGGGTTCTTCTTGGTGGGGGCTGGGCTCAGAGCAGGTGCTGGCAGCACTGGGAGGATGCTGACTCCATCCCAAACTTCGCCACTGCTCCGCTCCCAGTGCTGCTGCTGCCAGCCACCCAGCACAGTCCTGGCTCAACGCCCCACCTCCACCCATGCTCTGGGAAGAGCTGGGGCTGTGCTGGGTGGCTGGCGGCGGCAGCGCTGGGAGCGGAGCGGCATCAAAATTTGGGGTGGATGCAGCATCTTTCCAGCACCGCTGGTGCCTGCTCTGAACCCAGCCCCTCCCAAGAAGAGCCCTGTGCAACCCTGGCTGCAGCTTGCCCCATCCTGCCCTGCACAGATCTTGGGAGCACATGCCTCCCCTGTGCCCTCCTGGGGTGCAAGTAGCAGTGGGAGCCATCCTCCCCATGAGCTGCAGCTCTAGCTTCCCCCCGCCTTGCTTGGGCAGCACCTACCCCTGTCCCCACCCCACCACAGGGGGGTTTGGATCTGCCCCCCAAGCCTCTTCCCTCCCCACTCTCCTTCCACCCCACCTGACTTACCAGCTGGAGGCAGCTCTCCACGTTGCCGGCTGTGCTTCTGCTGCCTGAGTGATGCATTGTGGCTATGCACAACATGGGCATTTATTAGCCAAATAGTCAGCCCTATCTGGCCAATATCTGATACAGCCAGTTTCCGTTACATTGGAACTGACCCAATATTGGACTGATGTATCAGTGCACCTCTACTAGATATTGATCATAGTGTCTAAAATGGAATTGTTGGTGCTGGAGTATTAAAGAGAGAGTCTGATGGATGGGTGATGGTTATTAAATTTGTGTTGAAAATCAATCTGATATTGCAGGTTTTCGGTCCAGATGATAAAGATATCATCTATATATCTTGCGTATAGTATGGGTTTGATGGTGCAGTTCTTGAACAATTCTTCTTCCAGGTGGGCTGGATAGGAATGAAGCAAGATTTCATTTGTGAAAGCTGGAGAAAATGTTGGTGCAGTAGCTGAGAGACAGATAAGAGCTTAGACGAGATGTTCAGCTGTGTAAATGGTAGGAAAGGCAATATCTCATGTATTATGCAGAAAAACCTCTGCAAGACATGTGAGTCTGGCTCTGAGGACCTCAAGAAATCGGGGTCAGTCAGAACTGATATGGAATCTATTAGTATATACTGTGTTTTGCTATCTTGACCACAGTGACAGAAATGAACTGGGTATGTAATGGTATGAACACTAAAGAAATTCCCCTGCATTTATTTTGACTATTTATAGGTAATAGTGGGAAAACAGTGTCCCCAAATTAGAGCAGGGAAAACTCTCATTTTAAACATGTCTCAGACAAATATTTCTATTAGTTCCTTTACAGTCTAACTCCTGTAATACGTGGTACTTCTAGCATGAGTAGCATAAGATACCCTGGATGGACAAAGCCACCTCCCTCTATTACTATTCAAGTTGTCAGTCCCCTTCTCACTTGCAGCTAGAATTCTTTCAGGCATATTCCCCACCTCTGCTATTTTCCTTTTTAAATCTGTAGCCATCTTTCATTCTTACTGGTTATTTTCCAACGGCTTTCTAAAAGCAACGGCGTTGTTGTTGTTTTTAAACAAACAAAACCTTTTAGCAGTTATGTTCAGTACAGACCTGCAGAGCCTCTTATCTGCCAAGTGTAAGTCTTAGGTCTTAAGTCTTCAATAATGTTGTGGACATTTTATACATTAAATATCTAGACTGATTTGCCACAGTATCAGTTTTACTCCTGTCTTTGTACTTTTTCATGTTACATCTGAAACATAAAATTCCCTTTCCTTAATGCTCCCAACATCCTCCCTCTTTACTTAATTGTCTGGATCATACGTCAACCATGGAATCTTTCAACAACATCCTGCCAAAGCAGAATTTGAATTACTATCTTGAGTTTGAGTCTCTATCTGGTCACAAGGGTGTCTTTCTGGTTGTAAGTTCTTTTAAGGTGGGGAAAAGTGTTTTCTTTTCTGTGCTATTGAGTCCAGGGCTGTAGTGACACTTAGTATGCACTAAAAATGTCCAACTCCATTTTTTTGCATATAGCACCATTCCTGCAGAGCAGCAGGCAGAGTTCAAGCAACTGTCTGATGACATTCAGGAACTGCGGCAACTGCTAAATACTGAGTATTGTCGAAAAACGGTATGACATTTATATTTCTCTCTAGTGCTTAGTGTTTTTGTTTATGGATATTATTCTTTTGGTTTGTCAGAAAACATTAGAATGTTACTTCTGACTAAAACAAAAGATACAAAATCAAAATATGAAGGTATTTATTAGAGGTGCACCGATACATTGGTCCTAAATTGGATCGGCACGGATATGAGGAAAATTGAGAGTATCAGTAATAGGCTTTTTTTTGACTGATACGGCCTATAAATGCTGTGGAGCTGGGGAGGGGGGTGTGGGCTGCAGCCACCCCAAAATTCGCCCCTGCCCACCCCGAGCATAGTTTGGCCTAGTCCCACTGGGAAGAGCCTGGCACAGCCCTGGCCCCAGCTTGCTGCAATAGCCTGTCTTTGCCCATGAGCAGATCCGGGGGCACATGCCTTCCCCCTTGCCTCCCCAGGGGCAAAGACAGGACTCTGCTTGGGCTGGAGTGTGGTGGCTGCGGTGGCTCTGGCTCACATGGGTAACAGCGGAGCGAGTCCAGCCCCAGCATGGGCTATAGGGAGCAGGAGGAGAGGCCTGTGACACCTCCCCTCCCCTGGGCCTGGGCTGCTGTGCTGCAGCAGGCACCATGGTCATGGTCCCTCTTGCCCCCGCAAGCAGCATCTCCCAGCTGCCCTGTTCCTGTAAGCATGGGCACCAGCCCCAGTGCTGTCAGCCTGGCCACACAGCTCTCCCCTGCCCTCTTACCCCCACTAGAAGGGGCAGGTGCCTTCCTGCCACCCCTCTGCCCTGCCACAGCTCGCAACCCTTTGAAATATTCTTGTGACCCACTTTTGGGTCATGACTCGCGGGTTGAGAAATGCTGTTCTAAGCAGCTAAGAGAATACTGTGGCTATCATTGGGTGATGGTGAAATTTGAAAGGCTTGCTCTTAAAAGATCAAAAGACCCTGACTACTTTAAAGGTGACCCTGGTAGAAAGGAAGGGGAGGAGGTGGTCAGCGTGCCATGAGGCTGACAAACTGATGGGGAAATGGCCAGGAGTTGCAGGCCAACTGGCTCAAGCAGGGGCGGCTAACAAACTTTGAAAGGGCCATGTGGTTAGTCTTCTCTCTGTGGTTTTTACCTTATGTATCTTCTGTATTCCTACTGTTTTCAAAATTGAAAAGTACTCTCTTGGTGCATTTACATGTGTGCTTTACTGAAGACTAATTAGCTCCTCAGTAAAGCATCACAGTCTACACGTGTGCTGGTATTAAGGGGCAGTAAACTAATTAACTCCATCATAGGATAGTACTGTCGAGGACAGTACTACAGTGGAATACTTTACTGTGCTGAAATGCACATGTAGATGTCAACAGGGGGCATAAATTGCGCCTGGTCAGCCCAGCCAACCAGAGTCTTGACTCAAATTGCTGCTATTTTGGGCACACGTGTAGAACTGATCATCCAAGAACAGTTGACTCTGGCATGGACTGCACCAGAGTTTATTGCATCACCTTAATTTCACATGTAGATTCACCCATTAAGATAATTGTCCCTATATATAATCACAGCTTCTGGAGAGAAGTCTATAGCAGGGTCTCTGACCCCAGTGAGACCTTCTATAGTATTCATGGTTGATGGTAAG